GGGGAGTCCATGTCCAGAGAGAGCATGTAAGAGCAGCACTTCATCGCGTGGATGGCCTAAATGTGCGTGCAAGGCTAAGCCACGTAATACAGAGGAGGCATTATGTGGTTCCTGGGCCAAATTCACTCTGGCACGTGGAAAGGAACCATAAACTAATACGGTGGAAGTTTGTTGTGCAAGGAGGAATAGATGGATTTTTCCGCCTTTTCGTTTATCTAGGTTGTGTAACTAACATCCTGGCGAGTCCGTTCAGACCACGGCATGGAAAATGTGGAAGTGGTGCGTGCAATGATAACTCGACGAAGGACGGGAAGAGGGAGCCATATTACTGGGAGCTCAGTCCACAACCAGAGGATTGAACAATTGTGGCGCGACTATTTTCGCTGTCTTGGATTGCTTTATTACACGTTATTTTACTTTATGGAGGACATTGGCTCTCTCTCCCGACAATGACCTCAACCTGTTTTGTTTACATTTTGTTTATACTCCGTTAATTAACAAGGCCCTGGAAACATTTAAACGTTTGTGGAACCACAAGCTTTCTTCTGAAGCAAATGCCACTCCACAACAGCTGTACATCAGGGGAATGCTTCAGCGTCTTGGAACTGACGATCCAGTCGCATGAGATGTCATCGATGGTGAATCCATACACGAAAATCAGTTCAGAGTGGACCCGGATGGCCCAACACCCAAAAACCCGTCCAACAATGACGTGCAAGTCCGGGAAGTTATCTGTCCCTTGACAGACATGCAGCGTACACAGTTGGAACCATGTCCAAATCATGGCATTTCGCTGTACCTGGCAGCAAAAGATTTCGTTAACGCAGTAGTCTGGACACACTATTACATTTGCGAAATGTCTTGTATTATGTATTAAGGTTCCAATGATTCGCGCTGTGGCTATATGGTATGGCTGGTAACCGGTCAGCTTTTCAAAGCACCAGCAGTCCTATATTCTCAGTAAAAATCGGAAAAATCCAGCTAATCTAAACTATCATATGTCGATTAAGAAAAGTCCAGCAATCCTGAAATGCGCTATAGATCCCAAGTTTAGTGTTTGATTA